GCAGACTACGGACTCCACAGCACAGCTCACTAGTGTTACCCCATGCTCCCCGCTTCGCTCCCCGATTCCTGGCTGGTGCAACTTTGGCATGACGGGGAGCTGTAAGAGTGAGGATTCAATGCGCGAGGAGACAAATGCTTTGGCATTCTAGTTCTCCATTCTCCCAACTCGGGGAGCCAGGGGGCATCACCACCAAAAAAACAAAAAACCCTTCAGAACCTCTGACACAGCCCTGGTAGCACTCGTTTAGGACACCCAGGGTACAGAAATCCCCCAAACACCCACAACTCAGTGCAAGCGACAGGGAGGGACTTTGTTGCTTCTCGGATGCACTTCAACTAGATCAGTGTCACCTGCGACAGCCACATACTTGGGGGCAAAGCCAGAACTCCCACAGCCGTCATGAGCCACCTCCACAACCCTGACCGAAGCCAGCTTAGAGCTAGGGATGGAGGGAGGCTTACCTGAAACTTGCAACTAGGCTTTCCAGTAGCCTGAGTTTGCTTTAAATAACCCAAATACAAATTCAAGCTCATTTAAAAAGAACCTCCCACAGGCAGTCAGGCACTCAGCAATGGGAAAAAATCAGCCCCCTGCAGTAAAGTACCCCCTGGCTATTCCAGAGGGCTTGGCCCTTTTCGCTGGGAAAAGTGAAATCCAAAAGGTACTGAGGTGTGAAGTTCCCTCGCTCTCTGGAAGCAACGTTTCCAAGCGCAGGAGCAAGGAATTGAGAGCGGTAACAGGCAAGAGGCAGGTGGCTGGCAAGTTGAACTCTCTTCTAGGAACGGGGTGGGAGGGAGTCTCAGGGAGCTCCAGGCCAATCTCGCAAAGCTTGCACCCCTCTGCAGCACGGATGTCCCAATACTCAGATTTCTTGGCACGAAACCAACACTGTAGTGAGTTTCTCCATGCCGGGTTCTACTTAAACACCAGAGGCGTTTCCTAGCGAGTAAGGCTGCCTCCTTTCCTTCTATCCAGAACGAAGTCGTTAGCTGAACAAAGCCATGCAGAGGTTTCCACTGTTGTTCTCCAGGGTGTGGGGTCCTGCGCTCCAGAATCTTGTGCTGCTTTCAGTGTAACGCCACAGCCCGCTCCATCCCGTTGCCCCTACAGATTCAGCTCTTCCAGGAGAGATGTCCCACCCTCCCGAGCCTCTCCAGCTTCACGTACCCAGAGTGGCATGTGACGTCCAAAAGTGAGGGGGAGGGAGAGGCAACGTGGAGGGCATCAGTTCTCAAGCCCTCTCCAGGTGAAATTGCACTTGCCAGGTTCTGCGTGGCACCTCTGTGGGACTGTAAACAGGGACGGAGCTGAAACTGCTGTAGCCAGAGCATGCCATTCTCATGCAGGACAGGCCTTTCAGATCCCCCTCCCTGGCCACAGCCGGAAGCACCCTCCTCCGCATCTTCCACGCAGACACGAGGCCTGGCCCGGCCGGTTGCATTACTGGTCTGAAGGTCCCCCCAGAACCTACGTGCCCTAGGGGCTAGGGCAAACGTTTGCACAAGTGTTGCCACTGCCGTCTCAGATCCATTCGTTATTCAACATAAAAAAAAGGAATGACTTAACAAAAAAGGGGGTGGAGGTTGACTTACACAGAGGGATATTTCTCAGATAAAAAAAAAAAAAATCCCTCCAAACTGGAATAAGATCATCAAGTTAAAATGCAAAGTATCTACAGACCCCTCTCCCCCAGAAGTAGCCCCAGAATCCATGTACACTGTGCCAGAAATTACATTCCAAAATGAGGAGTTTTAAAACTTCTCTCGTCACTCTCCCGTTGGGTTTTTGTGTTTTTTTCCTTAAAAGAACTGGGAGAAACTCCCCCTTCCTGCCCAGGAGGACACGCCCACAGAGGTGTCTACTTCCTGCCCAGTCTGTGCCTCTTCAGTCTATTTTCACAGCGGCGTAGATCTTGCGGACAAACATGTAGGCTGCATAGAAGCCAATGGTGCCGGTGAGGAGCCAGAAGGACAGGACCATGAGGGCTGTGTAGCCAAAATACAGCAAAGAGGGAATGAACTCAACGATATCCAGCTAGAACAGAAGAGAAAAAGCAAAGTGAGGCTGAACCCAGAACCACGTTCAGTCACCTCCCCAGCTCCGTCGCTGGCCTGTTCCCCCTCGCCTTCCACCTGGAGCAGTCCAGGGAAAGCCCTGGGCAAGCTGAACGTGGAAGCTAAATTTTTCACAGCTAGAAGCCACTAGAGGAGAGACAGAATAACCTCAACCAGAACCACCTCACCTGGGGACAAGGCCGTGTCTAGAAGCACTGAGCCAACAGATGCACTCGAGACTGGAGTCTCCAGTACTTGAAACTCTTAATTTCTGCAGCGTTATTAACAGAGAATCACTCTGGCAACAGCCCATGCAAGGGACTGACCCTGCAAGGAATGGCCCCGTCCCAGCAGGCGGATGGACTAGGATGAGGGGACTCAGTACAACAGTCTCTCGCCAGCTTCCGGTGTGCTCTCGGGGAGCAAATAGTGACAATACCTTGTTCACGAAGTAGAAGATGGCGTAGATCAGCACGTAGAAGGCAGATCCTCCTGATACCAAGAAGGTCCTCCACCACCAGCGATAGTCCTGACAGGGCAAGAGAGTCTTTGCATTATTCTGGCCTCACTCCCCCGCAATGGGCTCCTAGGCATGAATCACAGGGCCCCTTCCTTTCAGATGGGCCGCACACTATCAGGAAGCAGAGCAGGGACCCTCGTCTTTCCCCCAAAAGGATGCAGGGATTTGTTCACCCCGTTCCAAGGCTAGGAATCAGTTAAGTATCAGCAAGACTGCATAACTAACAACGAAGCAGAAAGCCAGCACCGAGGCAGGCCCGGCTTACGGCATGGGAAATGGATCCAGGAGAGCGGCTGGAGATACAGCTCCCCTCCAACACTGGACTCTGCACATTCAGGGAAGCCGCACAGCAGCTCAGATTTCTGCTGAGACGCTGCAGTCAAGTCACACCCAGGGGATTCTCAGAGGGCGACTGGACCAGCCGCGTGGGAGGTCTCACCTCGGCACACAGCTGGAAGTACACCATGACAATGCTGATCTGGGAGCAGGACACCACGAGGATGATAAAGACGAGGAAGAGAAAGCCAAAGAGGTAATAGAACTGGTTCTCCCAGATCGCCTGAAACAAAGGACAGGACAAGCTCTTTACCACAATGCCGTGCCAGGAAGTCAAGTGACAGGCAGCAAACCGCTCCTTCGCAGCTGACCTGGAAAGGCACCAGGCTGCAGAAGGAGCCCGAGGGTAGGTAAGAGACAGCTGCTCTCACCCCAAAGAGATGAAGGAAGTGGGCACCTTTGAAGACGCAGTGCCACCTTCCCGCACTGGGATCCGACCCAGCAACAAGACCCCGTAACACCTGCTCCCCTTCCACATGAAGGAGAGCACTGGAAAGCATGTCTCCCCTCGCAAAGGCTCCTAGGCAACTTCACCTCACCTCTGTCCCTTTGCTAAGGAGATCCTGCACAACCAGGTCTTTCAAGAGTCTCCACACAACCAAGAGCCTGGAAAAGCCTGTGGTGCAGCATCCTCCAGCCACAGGCCTGGGGGGTGGGGCAGCAGTCCCCCCCTCCCTGCTCATGCCACAACGGCTCTCCTCCAAGTGGCCAGCCTCTCTCCCCAAGGCAGCAGCTGGCTCTGCAAGGCTGGGAAGGGTAGAAAGGAAGTGGGCCAGTGCTTACGCTGAAGATGAAGAACAGTTCAATGAACATGGCTCCGAAGGGCAGAATGCCAGCCATCAGAATCCTGCAGAGCAAAAGGCAGTCTGTTACCAAGCCAGCACAGCGGTCTTCACTCGAGACAAAAAAGCCCAGACAGGCCCAGCAAGAGGCTGCAGCTCTGGGGTCACGGGGTAAAGTCTCAGCAAGCCATTCCCCCCTTCCTGGCACTGGCAGGTGGGTGGAGCGTAGGACGCTGCAATCTAGGGTGCAGGCACAGGTCCCCTGAGCATCACAAGGTTTCAGCGAGGAGAGGGGGAGGGTGGGAGACCAGCGGGTCTATGCCACTTTCAATTCACGGGGGCTGGCTGGGGCTCGCCATGGGCACCGCTGGAGCTTTGCAGTCGCCAGGTTTACAAGATACTTGCAACTCACCCAACAAACTTCTTCATGTACCACCTCTGCTCCGGGATCTGCCTTGGAATCTGATTGGTCCGCACGGGGTTATCGTATGGCTGCTTGCGAAACCCAAAGTAATAGCCCAGGTAGACCAAGGGCAGGGAGATGCCAAACCACATGCAGAGCAAGGCCAGCATGGTGGGGAAAGGAACCTGGAATCAGAATACGTGTCAGCTCACACACCAGCACCACTGCGGGCACTCACTGAACCAGACAGTTCAGGGTCCTGCCAGCCAACCACCCACCAGACGGCGCCTCGTTGCCCTGTCCTGGGGGTAGGCTGAGCTGCAGTTGCTTCCAACTGACCCACTCACTTCAAGTATGAAAGCAAAACCAAAGCTGCCAACCACCCTGTCCCCAAGGCAAGCGGCGGAGCTGCAGCCTCCACTGAGCACACAGGACAAAGCCAAGGAGTCATTTCCCAGAGCAGCTTCACTGAGTCGCCTGTTGCTTCCATGCCCCTACGTGGGCAGCCTCTCCTGGCAGACTCCTGGAAGTGCAGCTCTGGCTCCTGGCCTGCTTAGCTGCAAAGGCATCTCCTCAGCCATCTGCATCCAACTACAGCTGCCATGTGGGCAAGTCCTTCTTCAACGGGGACTCGCCTGCTTTTCTAAACCGCTCCTGCCCTTTATCCTTCACGCATCTGCCCATTGAACAGTCCCTTCCACAGGAGCTCCAGCTGAGGTGAAGCCAGAGCAGTGCCCCCTCCCAGACACCGCAGCTGGAGCGTTCCCTGGGCTTTCTAACAGCCAGACCCCGCAGTGTGAACCCGCCCGGTGGATTCACCACCACAGGGCTCGCTCTCGACTGCAGACCTTGGCGTGTTCCAGGGACTGAGGCACCCTCTCAGAAACACTAATCACCCCACCCCAGACAGGCTTGCAAGGAAATGGATACATACTGCTCCGGAGGAGTGCTTTCCCCAGATGAAACAGTTCAGGATGAAGCAGATCCCAAAGACCACGCCAGGGTACAGGATAGCAGTCTGCAGAGAAGAACACACGTGGAAGAGAACAGGAGCCTGCTAAACCCCAGCCTTTTCTCACGGGCCTATCGCTGGAGAAACACAGATGCAGAGGAAATATCTGGGAAACTCTTGCTAGCACCCAGCAGCCACCTTCCCTCTCTGTGCGCGCCTGGGATCCTACACCACACCCTCTTCCCTTACTCCGCCGTGATCCACACCCTGATGACTGCCTCCTTGTCAAGATCTCATGCACAGCATTACACCCCACACCCAGCTGGCAGAGCCCCTATACAGCAGGCGGCCGAACTGCTTGCATCCACCCAGCCCAGGCACCCTGCCCTCAACTACCTGGCAAGAAGGCTCAAGGAGCCACTTACGCAGAAAGCTCCTTTCTTCCACCGATGGCCTTTCAGAGTCCGATACAAACGGCCAGCAAAGAACCCCCCGAAAACCCTGTGTGAAAACAGGCAAAAATACGGTCAATTCCCATCGTGTGTTTGGCAATGGCACCACGGTGGGAACGTCGCAGACACATACCCCATGAACATGAAGAGAAAGCAGGCCGTGGTCATCAGAGCACCCCGGCTGGATGGCGACAGCATCCCCAGCATGGCAACGACTGCAAGGCAAGCGGGAGAGGTGACAATAAAGGCTCATGGTCTACTCACAAGCTGCTTCAGGACAGGGCCCTGCCTCAAGCGAACTGGCCAGGGAATCCGGCAGCCTGGCATGTCTTTGCCTTCTCCACAGGACTTGAATTTCTCAGATCATAACCGAGACCACCAGCCCGCCAGGACCCCGGCCTGGTCTCTCAGCATGACCCGCTGGTCTCCACCCACTCTCCCCCTCTCCTCGCTGAAACCCTGTGATGCTCAGGGGACCTGTGCCTGCATCCTAGATTGCAGCATCCTACACTCCACCCACCTGCCAGTGCCAGGAAGGGGGGAATGGAGTAATGACTCCCTTTACCTTCCACAGCCCATTCTGCACAGTGCTCTTAGATCATGGATGGGCTTTGGATCCAAAGAACTCCACAACAGCAGCTGACCCCAGAGAAACTACAGGTTTTCCTTCACAAAAGATGCCTAAAAACTCAGTGCTCCTAAGTGTACATCAGCTTTGACTGGCCAGTCAGAATCAAGCAGGGCTACTCCAGAGGGAAGGCAGGCACCTGCGAGCCACACTGCAGTCAGCGAAGTCACAGCCATGCCACTCCATTCTGGTCATGTCTGTATAAGCATCGCACCCCTTCCAGGCACAGCTGCCCGAGGACAGAGGACAGCCGGTGCTACTCACAGATGACTATCAGGATCATGCAAAAGAGCTGAATTCCAGAACCCAGCAGGGAGCTGAGGATCATGGGATACCGGGGAGGCCTGAAGACATCACCATGCACAAGCTTCCAACCAGACTCCTCCATGGTGTCTTCCTGCAGAAGACCAGAAAAGGGCAGGGAGACTTCATTAGCTAAATAAAAATGCGGGTTCCTCTGCAGCTAGCTCCAGATGCTGCTTCCCCATCACCAGGTCTTTTCCAGGATTCCATCAATCTAGCCAAAAAAGCCTTCTTGCCTCTTCAGTTTTATGCTGAGGATCTCTAACCACAGTGTTAGAGCAGGACTGCCTTATGCAGAGATGCTGCCTGAGCTGGTGGTTGTCTGAAGGGCCAGGTGGGAGTGAGGAGCCTCCAGCAGCTCAGCCTGAGATCACAGCTTGGTTTACAGAGCAGCCCTCCTACCTGCCTACAGCAGCACTGCCCCTCCCCTCCTGCCTGCAAAGCAGGGATGGATACTCCAAAAAAGAGCCTGTCCCTGCCAGCTCCGTGTTAATCCTCCCCCAGCTCTATGTTCACCCCCCACCCAGCTCCCCAAGGACAGACACAGGCCATACAATATCATCTTCTTTGTTGTAGTTGGCGATGTCCTTCCTGAGAGTGCGGATGATGATCATGCTCAGAATGCCTGAAACAAGAACGGGAGAGACTCGGTTACCGGGTTCCCAAACCTGGTCACTCCAACACACCAGGAGGCTTCACACCTGCAGCTGAGGTGGGGGCTCCTTGCTCCAAGGGAAGCCCTAGAGCAGGGGTGGGCAAAATGCGGCCCGGGGGCCGGGTGCAGCCCACCAGGCCATTCTATCCGGTCCGCGGGGCCCCTAAAGTATTTAGAAAATTAATATTTATCTGCCCTGGGCTGCCTGACATGCGGCCCTCAATGGCTCGCCAAAACTCAGTAAGTGACCCTCTGCCCAAAATAACTGCCTGCCCCTGCCCTAGAGCCTCCCCTCCCCACCCCTCTCCCAGGGCCCCATCCTGCACCACTGCTGGCAATGGGAGCACTGCATCCACAAGCACAGTGGGCACACAGTGCTCTCTCATGAGCAGTACCTGTGGCCTCTCCCCCAATCTAAGGTAAGTCTGGAGGCTGGGCACGGATGCCGCAAAACACCACTGTGCACAACAGAAGTTACAGCACAGAAGCACTGCCCTGGCCCCAAGCCCCATTTGGAGCATTCAGGAACCAGGAATCAAGGGCCAAGTCCAAGAGGCGCTGCCTGGAGCAGGAGCTTTACACCCTGGTTAGTAGCAGAGACCTCGGAGCCACTCAGCAGCCTGCCTGCAACTGAAATTCATAGTAGACCCCAGGCCGCCACTGCTCAGTGACGGGAGATTGACCCTCAGCTCAGTGCTGTGCTCACCAGAGAGGAAGAAGACAACCACAACCGAGTTAATGATGGAGAACCAGTGGATCTGCACGTCGCTCATGGTCAGGTAGGTGTCCCAGCGGGAAGCCCATTTAATGTCGCTCTCCTAAAAGAACAGAGGCACATTCAGAAGCTACCACCCCTTCCTTGCTTGTTGTAACATCCCCCCGGAAGGGCTCTTACAGGGCCTCTGCTGCATGGACACCCCCCAAGACGGGACAGCCTGGAGCAGGCGGCCCCTCCATCCACATCCCCCCTGGCCCCCGTCACTCCCTCACCTCCCAGTGGACAGAGTAGGTGAAGAGCAGCAGGTTCTTCTTGGTGGGATCTATCTCCTGAGGGGCTGAGCCTGCAGCTTCGGGCAGGGTGCACAGGCCCTTTTCATCAACCTTCAGGTCTACAGAAGGAAGCACCACACACGTGCCAGGTTAGCATTCCCCGTACTTGTCCTTCCCAGAGCCCAAGGCATAGCCCTGAATCTATAGCCAATGCAGCACCTGTCCCCCCTCTGCAGCCTTGGGCTGCCCTCCTAGCCCATTAGGTGAACATCATTAAGTGCCTCTGCAGTGGGCCCCACGCAGGCCCCTGCTCAGCTGGAAGGATGGAATCAGAGAAGAGTCTCTTGGGACAGAGGGTTGAACAGCGCTCGCTGTGAAGCACCAAGGAACCATCCTTGCAGAGCAAGGGCAGGATAAGCCAAGATGCACGCACTCCCACCCATCTCCTGCAAAGCTGATAGTAGACACTGCAAAGGAAGGTGTCTGGCAATGCTGCCCATCCAGAAGTAACCTCCCAACCTCCAGGAGCTGGGGCAGCTCCGACCATGGAGCAGGACGGCCCACCCCTCACGTCTAGGCTTTGATTTTTTCATTAAGCTTGCCTGATGCAGTGGGCAAGGATTCCCTGGCCCATTTTACCAGGCTGCTGGCTGCCCATTCAGCCTTGGCCTCCGCAGTTTCACAGGCTAGTTGTGCTTGCTGCCAGAACACATTCCCTTTGAAATGCAACTAGTGGGAAACAGAGCAGTTGTAAGGACGAAGCAAACACTCTCATTACAGGGGGAAGAAAGGATTTCAAAGTCCCTCCTTCCTGTACCCCTTAGAAACTCGGACATGGGTTCATCCTGGAGCTTGTGGCAGACAGGGCAAGGGCTGTTGCCCTCTTGCCATCCCAAAATCCTGAGGTGCTTGCCTCCCGGCCTGGGGCAAACTGCAGGGCTCACCTTCCAGCTTAATGCTCTGGGGAACCACTTCAAAGCGCACAACCCTGTAGGTGGGCTCCTGATTCTCCTCCACCTCCTCTCTGTGGTAGTAAAGGATGAAGGAGAGGTGGTTGTGCAGGTAGAACTAGAAAGGGCAGATTGACATTAGAGAAAAGTTAGTGACCGGAAGAAGGAACAGGAGATGCCCAGGGGGCAGCAACTGCCTGCAGCAGCAGCAGCATCTCCACCAGGCTCAGGCCTCTAGGAGCTCCCGACCTGCTGGGCTACAGGGCAAGGCTGTGCTCTGCCTCTCCCTCAGCTTAAAGGAAAGGCAAGAGACTGACATGTCTTGCCAGTTGTTACCTCAAGCTCTTAGTCTGACCATCAGCAATTATGTTTTTCTGCATTTCTGATTGTGCAGCCAGGACCATGCCCCGGCACACGACCATGACACATTCAACAGCACTTTGCACCCCAGGGGCTGCAACAGCACCAGCTGCACCCTTGCTGCCCTAAACCCAGCCTCTCTGCGTTGCACCAGGCAGCTGTACTGCAAGAGGCCTTCCTCTCAGAGGCAAGCAGCTTCCTCTGAGCATGCACAAGGAGAAAGCACAGCAGCTCTGCACAAGCCTTGAAAGCCTCCCATCCATAAGAGCTGCAGGACCCTGGTGATCACAACTGTCCATGAGTACATCAAACGAACATGCAAGCAATATGTTAGGCACACTAGCGCATGCAGCTATGGAAAAGGTGGGTGAGCAAGGCATGCAGCTGCATGCAAGTCTGCTCCAGGCAATCTTAGGCATGCAGAGAGGCTGGCTGCACTGTATTATACCTTGACTGGTTTCTGCCCCTGCCCCTCTCCCTTCAACATTACACGACTTCTTCATCCCATGTGTTTTTGTCCCAATTAAGCTCTTTGATTTCACTAGGATGAATTCAAGCTGCTCCTTCCTAAATGGAATCAGACCCTGGCTGCCTGGCATTGGGTCCTGAGCAATACATTACAGCAATAAATGAATGTGATGTTCAACACCCAAGGGCATTTATGCAGGAAACTCAAAGCACATGACAAGCACTAGTTAGTCCTCAGCACTTCTCAGATCTACCTACTGGCAGCTCCATTTTAAAGACAGGCAAACTGAGGCACAGAGGTTGAACAGTCACATGGCAAACTCATGGCACCCCACCTGCTACTGACTCATTTTCCATTCTCCCAGTCTGAAGATCCAAGCCATGCCCACCCCTTTCTGTCCCTTACACAGCTCCTCAGCAGGATTCCCCAACCCTGCTGTCCCCCCAACATGACCACAGGCCTCATCTTCTGCCAAGGATAACTGTGGTGTTCTCCATGCCTCTCACCAAGGCTCTGCCCAGGCTGCTTCAGACCCTTTACCTTATTTCCATCCATGAAGCCCAGCCTGTATCCATGCTCAAACTGCACGTCTTTCTCCTTCTTCTTCTCCTCCTCGTCCCGATTGGAGTAGAACTCCAGGCGCGTGGCCACGGGAAGGTTATCAGCAATGCTGAAAGCACACGTTTGTGAATCAAAGGGACCCAGTGCACCGAGGTTCCAAGACAGCCCCCCTGGGATCCTGGTGGGTGTCATTCTCCCCCTACCCCACACATGCACACACAGGCAGAAGAGCAGGACTTACAGGTGGACGTAGTAGTCTTCCCTGATCCGCTCTGCAATCAGCTTGGCCTGCTCCACATCCAGGGAGACTGGCTCATTGAGATGGTTGCAAAGAATCTCACACTTCTTCTCCATGCTCATGAAGACCTGGAACGGTGTGTTTACAATGCGGTCCCCCCGCAGGACCTCCCCTGTGGGAAAAGACACAGAGTGAGGGCCATTGTTCAGCTGCCCCTGGATTTTCTAGCATGTGGCATTTCATGACGAGATGAAAACAGCTCTGGACAGCTGTGTCCACCCCAGTGCCATGGGGAAGCTGGTGAAGTAACAGCATGTACTGACTGTGTGGAAGGAGAGAAGGAGCAAGGAAATCTTCTTGTCTGTCCAAAGCACCAAGCCTCATGGATGCAGGTACAGAAATAATCACCTCCCCCCTACATGGGCACTGTAGCATCCCCACTCCCTCTGATCAGCTAACAGTAGGAGCATAGCAAACTTGCAGGACACACGATTTGTCACGTGAAGTCACACCACAGTGCTACAGTTCATCCCACGCTGTGTTTATGGCTATTTTTCCAGTATAAGCGTGCCACTTTGGAGTTACTGCTGGCTGCACTGGCCAGAGACTCAATAGCAGTACTCTGCAGCCTTCAGACCAGCCACAGCTACCATGCAACCCATGACAGGGGCAGGCCTAGAAGGCAGCAAGTTTACAGAGTGCACATTACATGACAGGTACATACCCAGATTCTCAGCCTTGTAGGTTATCACAGGGGGGCGACAGAAAGGCAATGAGTAGTACTCATACGGCAGCTGGGTCCGTGAACTCGTGAGCTTCACAGCCTGAAGGAAGAGGAAGAAGCACTCATTCCATCATGGACCCTCTTAAAACCACAGGGACCATTCCCTACTCTCCCTACATCAGCTCCAGGCTAAAGCCTCCTTCAGGAGAGATTTCAAGGGAAAACCCCTTGAAAGATAGCAATAGTGCTCATGAGGAAAATCCAACCTGCATGAAATGGATCTCATCACCCACCATTCAGAGAGAACAAGCAGCTTATTTTCTAAGGAGTGAGAAGCACTGACTAGCCCCAGCATCTTAATTCACCAGGACCTGCAGTCTGTTAGGTTACCAACGTACAGCGGTCATCAAGTTTTGCAGGGAGGTAATCCTGAGGACAGAAAAGTTCACAGCAACATCTCTACCAGTGAAACGACTGGGAACACACTGAGGACATGGGAGCATGGAGTTAACTGGGCAGCTCTGGGAGGAGCAAACCCCCTACACGTAAGAGAAGGGCGCTGTCATGCACCCGACCCTTTCACAACATGCGTGCACCCCCGAGCCCATTACAGCATCAGCCCCGGCCTACTCCTGTAGGTACACAGAGCAGGCATTTCAGGACAGCTAAAAGCACTAGACATATCACAGATTTTGATACTAAAGTCACTGCTGAAAGCAGACAGAATGGTGCCTGGGGCCTGCTAATTTGGTCAAAACCAGCCTGCTGTCAGCTTTTTGCACCACGTTAACACAGAGGAGAGGGTGTATTCAGTCTCTTTTCATGTTCCTATCCCAGTGGGGCTCCAGACGCTGCTAGTCAGAGGCCCTTGCCTCTAGCAACAGCCTGGAAACTGATAGGACTTGGGGAGCGTTCCTATAGTGCTAACAGCACAGCCCCCACATGGCTTAAGATGGGCTGCAAGGACTGACTTCCCACCCCACCTTGGAGACTGTTCTGATTGTCGAAGCAGCCTGTTCCTTGTGACTCAGAACCACCAAGCCTTCATTCAGAGCCCTGGGCTAGGCAAGGAGAGCCCCTCCTTTCTGCACCTCTGTGACCTGAATAGCTTTTGTCCTCTCTCATGCCCCAGCCACCTCAGCTTTAGGAAGCAGAAAAATGTTTGAGGGAGACATGGCTGATTTATTTGGGCTGTTGTTCATCCGTCTTTCCCATGCCCATTTTTCTGCAGTACTACATGGGATCCCAAGTGTGTGAAATGGGGTGACTGCTGCTTTTTCTGGAAAAGCCACAGCCTAGAGGTCTGCCCTTGGTTCCCTGAGCTTCTGCCTTTGGAGAGGAGGCCAGATCAGAAGATAATGGATGGGGTTAAAACTGAAAGCTGCTCAAGGGGACCCACAAAAATGTAGGACATGATCCTGGATATCTGCATCTCAGTTAAGGCAGAGCCAAGGCCACAGCTGTTCTGAAAAGCAGGAACAATTTGTAGTCGAGCCAAGGTCACTTATCGGAAGTACACTGGAGGCTGTGCCAACTGATCTCACTGCTGAAGGAACCATTTGGCTTTTAAATCCCTTTGAGAGCAGCTCTTCCAACCCAGCCCCTTGAGACCCCTTGCCCTGGGCTAGCCTTGTTTGCTCAAAAACAGCTTGAGTCTGGAAGTTTGTGGGTAAAATGCAAATTGTGCTGTGCTTGGTACATGACTGGTCAACCTCAGTGACCCAGACATCCACTCCCCTGGACTTCTTGCGCAGAACGAAGCCCACAGCTTCAGCAAAAACAAATAAAAAGATGCTCAAGTTGCTGGTGTCTGGAAACCAAGTCTGAGCTCCCTTCCGACAGGATGGAGGCAGCTCCACAGTTGGGCACTGATGATAGTGGGCTCTGCGGTGAACTCTGCCCTCTCCGTGGGTGTTTTCAGACTAGAGGCTGGAGGGCGGCAGGGGAGGTTGTGGTAGGGTTCAGTTCCTTCCTGGCTGAGGGACAGAGCGCATGAGAACCGACTCAGGCCAATAACTATGAAACGATGGGGCTCTAGCCTCGATGTTACCCCTGGACGCATTGCCTTTAGACCAGTTTTGCTTATGGTGCAAAGCTACTCTACGGGCAGTGTCACCTGCTGATCCCACACACGTGTGCGACTCAGCAGCACACAGCACCAGCTGCTGTCGCTCTGTTCCCTATGCCACTGGAAGAGCTCCTGTGCCAGCCAGAGCAACTCAGATAAAGATTTTGGTGCAGCTCCTTAATTGCTTCATAAGAACACTCAAAAGAAGAGACAGGAGAGGAAGAAGAGGAAGATCAAAGAAAACACTGGGAACAGGGGCATGACAATTAAGGTCCAGAGCCCCTCATTAGTAAAACCTTGCATAAAGGTGCTGCTACAACAGCATCTGCTACTGAATTTGAGAGGCACGACCCCAAACTTTCACTTCCAGTGACTCGCCGGGCTCCTTGTGCTACAAAGAGATGTGTACCCACTGGCTGCTCATCCCTGTGACCTCCACCCTACCTTGATTTCTACAGGACTATTCCGGTGGAAGTTCCTAGGCGCGACACCTGGGACGTAGAAAGAGCCCATTCCATGGAACAGCGAGAACAGCAGCAGCAGCAAACGCAGACAGTCCTGCAAAGGAAAAGAGGTGTCAGGCTGTACCGTCACAACCACGTGCATCAGGGCAATGCAGCACCCAAGATACTCCCCTCCCAGAAACGATATTTATAGGGGCTGAAGAGTCCAACAACCAATGCACAACCCAGGCTTCTACTCCCAATGCTGCAGCTCCTGGCAGGCCACTTCCAGGGTGTGCCCATTTCTCCACGTTTAAAAGAGGAGTAGCAGGTGCTTACACCTCAGGTGTGTGCTGTGAAACGCAATAGCTGTGAAACGGGTTGGGGTTCTCAGCTGAGAGGCACTACAGTGCAAGCATGCCAAGAGAGAGAGATCTGGGGAACAGCAGCTACCTCTGGACACCTGAGCTCACCACTGTTTCCCTCCTTCCGTGCCCTACAAACAAAGCAGCCTTTGCTCGACATAGCTGAAGCTCCCCCACGCTGACACGTGCTCTTCAGGCTCCATAATCTGAGGTATGGAGCAGCAGTTCACAGCCTGACCAGCAGCTTTCCTGCCCCTGTGCACAGAAATCCACCCCCCTTCACTCAGCTGGGTGCATGGTCTACGCAGTAGGGCATCAGCCTCGGCACTACATTTCAGTCCATCAGCGCACTCCAGAAATTCTCCCGTGGCAACACCTGGGCTCAGCTCAGAGAGCTTGCTTTCAGCGCGGCAATGAGCTGGAGCCGACTTCTATGTTGTGCAACATCGGACCTATACAAAGCGACTGGATCAACACTGGAGAAGTGCTAACTCAGCTGTCCCTCTGTCTGCAACCCCACTGCACGAGCGAGTTTGCACCACCCATCCCCCAGCCCCACAAGCCAGGAAGTTTAAAGCAGCAATGAATGCAAGTCAGAGATGGGTGCGGGGCCAGAAGCAAGGTAGCTTGGGGCAACTCTCAAGCTAACACTACCGTGAAGACGAACCTACGGTCATCGCTTCCCTACGAAGTCAGCTTCACTCTGCTGGTGCCACTGTATCTAAAGAAACAGCACAGGGGCAGGCTGGGGAAGAAGGGGATCAGGAGACCAAGGGCTCAAGGGGGCAGAGGGGCAAAGGCTGTGTCATTGGCTTATTGCTTGGGATGGGATAAGCACAGCTC